CCCCCCAAACCATTCCAACATGTTCTCATTTCGAACGATATTCCCCACCGCAATTTTCTACTGATAAGAAAACTCGCCGAACCGTAGTAGGTTGGGCGTTTTTGACGCGTGTGCGCCAAGGAGAGAAGTTAGTTTAGGTGGTTTTCGTAGCGCATGCGCTCGCATTAAAGCCGATACGGCGGGCGTCCAGTGAAGGTGTTGTTTTATTTTTCTCTCTCCACCACTGGTTCACTCTCCTGTTCTCCTTTTATTATTATTATTTTTTTCCACTGTAACACAACTCTCTCTCGACGAAAAACGGTGGATCCGGTGGCCGGGGTTGAGCGAACGATCAGACGCTCTCGATGTGCGTGGGAGACGAGAGTTTAGCGCAATTGACGTTAACGGAGAATGAGAATGAGAGGAGTCAAAATAAAAACCGGTGAATTTACAATGCGCTGAACAATTTGTTGAATTATGAAGACTGTAGTCGCTCGGGGGATTGAATAATTAACACGTGATTGTTGTCGCGATAATAGGCGTGATAGCGGTATTCAGTAGGTACGGAAGTGTGTGGCCAGACCGAGTAATTTTTGCTGTGATGTGAGTTTTTGATTATTCACCTGCTGTGTCGATGATTTCTACAGCGAGAAATTATTATTCGTGGCACGAGGGATCACATTACACCGGTGGATTTATCGTTGGAGTGACTGTTGGGTTTTTAGTTTGGGGGAATTGACGAGTTTTTCGGAAATTCTGTGGTGATTGCTGAGGGATTCGATTGCTCATTCCAGGGGTGGGGGTCGTGACGTGATACCTTGGCTACTGTCGTCATTGACGTGTCAGTGATATCTCCGTTGGGGTTTCAGGCAGGTAAGTGTCTTCGGGTATTTTTTATCATTCAGGGATCGCCATTCGATTTTACTGATTGCGGGTCGGGATGAAACGCGGAATTGAAAATTATGGGACAGATTTTTTGGGGTGCGGGGTTTTTTTGGTCGCGGGGCTTTTTGGGGATGATTGGGGAAGGGGTGGGGTGTTTTTGGGGTGCCCCACCTGAAGGTACTTTCTAGTCCCCAAGCGTTATCGATCATGGGTTGTTACCGGCTAAACATGGTCGGGAGACAGGTAGGGCTTGTACCCCCTTGGGCGTTTACTTGAGGCGTTCACGTGTTTTTGCAGGGGGTCTGGGTATCAGGGAAATGAGGGGGGCGGGTGAGATTGCTTTGGGGGATTCAGGGAATGTTCCTGGAACTGCTGCTGTCACGGTTTTTGTCAATCTAGGATTTTTTATGGGTGGAATTTAAGATTTATTGAGGGAAAGTAAACAAATTTTCTTAGTGCACACTGTTCGAAAAAAATGTAAAAAATATGGATTACATTTCATGACCAGTTGACTAGTCATTCTCAGGAGAGTGACATTAAATTTCTTTAACTATGAAAGTTTATTTTTAATTGGAAATTTACGAAAATTCCATTTTTTAACAATTTTTTTAACATTGCGAGGGGAATTCCTCAACTTCTTTGAACTTTCAATGAAAATATGAATGATCAGTGCCAATTGATGCTGTATTTTCAATTAAATCAAGAATTCATTTACTGGAATTTTTCTGATTTCTCTTATTTGCATGGAAATTTGTACTGAAATTCACTGTTATCAGGGATAACGAAACGGGAGAGATTGAGATTGTTTTGGGGGATTCAGGGAAGAGTCCTGTAATTGACACTGTTGCAGTTTCTGCCAATCTCAGATTTTTTATGGGTGGAATTTAAGATTTACCGAGGGAAAGTCAACTAAGAAAATTTATCTTAGTGCACACTGTTAGAAAAAATGAAATTTCGAGTACAGTTGATTAGTTTTCAGGAGAGTGACGTTAAATGGGATTTTTTAGGGGGAAAATAACTATAAAATTTTAAATTGCATTGGAAATTCCAATTTTTTAACAGCATTGCGAGGAGAATTTCTCAACTTCTCTGAACTTTCAAGGGAAATATGAATGATGGGTGTCAAATTATGCTGAATTTTCAATTCAGTAGCGAAGTGGTAAAACGGTTTAAGTCGACTTATCTCCCAGTTGAGTTTTTGAGGAATCTTTCCGAATCCAAGGGCGATAGCGAAATTTTCGTAATTACATTTGTTGTAGCTCTCAATAGGCTCTACAAAAAAGATCATAACAAAAATTTTACTATCTCCCTTAGATTCTGAGATATTCATTGAAAACTGGTCAATAGTCAAAATTGACTTGTACCGTTTTACTACTTTGCTCCTGAATTAATTCAAGAATTTATTTATTGCAATTTTCCTTATATTTAATAGTAATATTTAATAGTAATACCCCAAGAGCTTCAAAGTGATCGGGTATTTTCCGATAGCTTCGTTGCAAACAAATGAGGGTGTCGAGTTTTATAAGTTAAAAAATCCCGAGCGTTTGCGCGAGGAGTTGAGTTTGGGCTACTGTCAGTTTTTCTAATGGATGGAATTTAAGATCTGTTGATCTGCCGAAACACATCATTTTAGTGCACACTGTTGGAAAAAAATATTAAAAAAGTTTGTATTTTGCTGTCTGATGAACGGGAGGAAAATACGAACTTTTCGTGCAGGTGTGTGAAAAATGCGATGTTTTTTAGGATGAAAATAATCATTAAATTTCAAATTTCATTGGAAATTTACGTAATTTCTAACTTTTTAGCAACACTTTCAATGAAAATATTCATGGTCGGGGTCAAATTATGCTGCATTTTCAATTAATTCAAGAATTTACTTACTGGCCATTTTCCTGATTTCTATCAATTTTCATGGAAAATTGTACTGAAATTCACAGCTATCAGGGACAACGAGGGGTGGGAGATTGGGATTGTATTGGGATGGATTTCGGAAATGTTTCTGTAACTGACACTGTCTCGGTTTCTGCCACCGTCAAATTTTTTCCGGGGTGGAATTTAAGATTCACTGAGCGAGAGTCAACAAATCATCTTAATGCACACTGTTAGAGAAAAATGTAAAAAAAATATATATATTGAATTTCATGGACAGTTGACTAGTTATTTTCAGGGGTGGGTCATTAAATGCAATTTTTTAGGATGAAAACACCCATGAAATTTCGGATTTCATTGGAAATTCACGGAAATTTAATTTTTTTAACAGCATTGCGAAGAGATTTCTCAACTTCTTTGAACTTTCAATGAAAATCTCACGAAATGAAAATAGCAGATACTGTCATTAAAGAGATAATTGAGATTTAATAAAACCACTTATTACCAAAATACTGGAAGAAGTGTTGAAGTTTATATTTCGACGAAAAAACGTCAGCAGATTTGGTTCATTGGGAACCATATTTCGAACGATAAAAAACATGTTTCGATATTTTCCTTTCAGATTACTCAATATGGGAATCATTCAATATTTAATGAAGTGAAAAATCTAATTTAACGTAAAATTCAGTAGCGAAGTGGTAAAGCAGTTTAAGTCAACTCATCTCCCATTTGAGTTGTTGAGGAATATTTCCGAATCTAAGAGAGATACCGAAATTTTAGTAATTTTATTTGTTGTAGCACTCAGTCGGCTCTACAAAAAAGGTTATAACGACAATTTCGCTATTTCCTTTAGGTTCCGAGATATTCATTGAAAACTGATCAATAGTCGAAATTGACTTATACCATTTTATCACTTCGCTACTGAATTAAATCTGACACTTCTGATAATTATGCGCTCACCGCCAAGATCAGTTGCTTAAGAGGGAAATGTCAAATATCTTTTTTAGAGAATGAACTTTCTAATAAAAAATGCCCTCTGATATTCTTTCTCAAAACCACTCATTAAAGACATAAGTGAAGTGTAAAAAATCATTCTCTTGAAATGTCAAACTTAATACTTTAACAAACTTTGCATTAAGAATTTTTATTCATCCTCCAAGAATCAAATTTATCTAGGTTTGGGCAGAATTTTTCATATCGATAGGGGAACATATTAAATCAACATTTCTGACAATAAAAAAAATCAGTTGGAGTGGCTTCGATAAAATGAAGTGAACAATTTTTTCTTCTCATACACCGGCTCTTATTGTATTTATTTTCAAATCGATAATTCATATACTGGAAGACTCTAAAAATATGAATAAAAATAGAGGGCAATGTGAAAACATATACTGAATCCAATGGTCAAAGAAAAACCTGGGATACCCAGGCAAATAATCCAGATATTAAAAACTCTAAGCCCCATATAACCTCATGGTAACGTTTACATTCAGTACATGTTGTCTATTTTATTCCTAAATGATCAACTCGGATTAATGAATTTACTTTTTCATAATTAAAATGGAAATAAATTAAATATAAATTAAACTAAATATAAATTGAATAATTAAATAAAATTAATTAATTAAAATTTCATTTTCATTACGAAAATAACTTTGTCTATCAGTTGAAGAAACTTCAAAATCTTTTGGAGTGTTCGTGAGCATCAACATTTTCAATGTTCTAGGAAAATTCTTGAATATTTTATATTGATGAGGAAACATGAAATCTACATTTCTGATAATGAAGAAAGAAATTTTTTTTTATCGTTATCTTACATCACTTCGACCCGGTTAGGGTATACTGCGGCGATGATCAAGACTTTAAATGGTTAGATCGCACCATTCTATCCGGCCTGGATTTGAACTCGGAACCTTTCGCATGTGAGGCAACGAACTTACCCACTGCGCCAAGCCCCCGGGCTGAAGAAAGAAATGAAGAAATGAAATGAACACTTTTTTCTCATACACTGGCTCTTATAGAATTCATTTTAAAATTGATAATTCATCTCCTGGAAGACTCTGAAAATATGAATAAAAGTAGAGGGCAATGTGAAAAAATATACTGAATCCAATGGCCAAAGAAAAACCTGGAGTACCCCTGCATAAAATCCAGATATTTAAAACTTTAAGCTCCATATAACCTCATGCTAATGTCTACATTCAGTGCATAGTGTCTGGTTTGTTCCTGCATTATATGACCAAAATAACTCTGTCTATCAGTTAAAGAAACTTCACATTTTTTTTGAAGGTTTGCAATTTAGGATAAATATCCTTAAGGATGTTTCTATATTTTCCAAAACTCAAATTTCTCCATTTTTGAAAACAAAACTGTAGTTTTTTATATTGATGAGAAAACATATTACATAAATATTTCTGATAATGAAGAAAAAGCAGTTGCAGTAGCTTTGACGAAATGAAATAAACATTTTTTTTTCATACACGGACTCTCATGGAATTTATTTTCAAATTGATAATTCATCTACTGGAAGGCTCTAAAAATATGAATAAAAGTAGAGGCCAATGTGAAAAAATATACTGAATCCAATGGCCAAAAAAAACCTGGAATACCCAGACGAATAATACAAATATTTAAAACTTGAAGCCTCATATAACCTCATGTTAACGTTTACATTCAGTACATATTATCTATTTTATTTCTGAATAATCAACTCGGATCAACGGCTTGAAATTTTCATCAACATGAGCAAAATAACTGTCCATCAGTTGAAAGGACAATTAATTCAGGAGCGAAGTGGTAAAACGGTTTAAGTCAATTTTGACTATTGGCCAGTTTTCAATGAATATCTCGGAATCTAGGGGACAGCAAAATTTTTGTTATATCCTTTTTTGTAGAGCCGAGTGAGACCTACAACAAATATAAATACAAAAATTTCGCTATCTCCCTTAGATTTAGGAATATCTCTCAAAAACTCAACTGGGAGATAAGTCGACTTAACCCGTCTTACCACTTCACTACTGAATTTTTTTTAAGTGGTTGTGATTTCGGATGAACATGCTGAAAGATATTTATGCATTTTCCAACAATCCAATTTTTCCATACTTGAAAAAAATTCTGTA